GGGCCTCTGTGAGGGAGGCCCCTATGGCTGCCCAAGCTTGCCGTAAACAGGGAGGTGGCGTGTGACGGGAACGGAAAGCCGTGTAACCAGCTGTGAGCAGCTGCCACCATCGGAGCCGATGTCTGGATTTCCACAGGAGCATTTTTATCGAAGAGAGTTTAGTGCAAACTCTAGTTTAACTTGTAAGTTAGGAAGAGCCGAAGAGGAAATGCCAAGTGTGCAGGGTGGCTCCGATCGGCGGAGGGGGCCACTCTGGTTAGTGGACGCTCCGTTAGCCGCTTGCAGGACCTGTTCAGATTTCCCGACAATGATTTGACACTGGAAAATCATTTTGTTGTTAATCCTATTTTGTTGTTAATCCTCACCAAGGATATTTTCGCCATTGATTTTTAGAATGGAAAGGAAGGAGAGAAACATGGATGTGAAAGAGAGACATGGATTGGTTGCCTCCAGCATGTGCCCTGGGGAAGGGGGGGAGGGGCGGTAGGGTTGGAGCCTGCAATCCTTGACCAGAATCCTTCAATCCACAAACCAATGCTCCAACTACTGAGCCACCCGGCTAGGGCTGACTACTGTCCCTGTAAACGTTGGCTCCTGCCACATAAAACATGCCTGCTCTTCCCACGTAGTGATGGTGCTCTGAGGGTGGTGGTGACCCTGCCAGGCCCTGCTATCAGAACCCCCGGGGTGCCAGCCTGGACCAGCCTGTGAGTGACGGACCTTCAACCTGAAATGACGGGAATCCAGAGCTGGGAGGTCTCTGCCGGGGACGGGAGCAGAGCTCCGCGGAGGTGAACTGTGACCCAGCGAAGGCGGAGCCTCGAGGCCCTGGCCCTGTGGTGGGGGAAGGGCTGGGGAGTCACGGTAACGGGAGTCACGGTAACGGGAGTCACGGTAACGGGAGTCACTAACGGAGCCGGCAGCCTGAGCTGTGCGGAGCCTCCGCGGGGACCGCCCACCCGCGGCCCTGCAGGCGGAACTCACAGTGAAGCCAGCGGGAAGCTGGCCAGCGGGGAGCTGGCTTCGGAGCTCAGAGCCCGCTGTGGGCCGATGGCCTAACCCCTCAGCCCTACGGCCCCAAACCCATCCCTTTTCTTTTAAATCCTCACCCGAGGATCTTTTCCCAGTGATTTTTAGAGGGGGAAAGACAGAGAAACATCGATGTGAGAGAAACACATCTGTTGGTTGCCTCCTGCATGCACCCCAACCAAGGCCCCGAGGTACGTGCCCTTGGCTGGAATCGAACCCAGGAACCTTTGGTCTGAAGTCCAATGCTCTATCCACTGAGCCAAACTGGCCAGGGCCAGATCCATTGCTTCAATTTTATTTTTATTTATTTATTTATTTATTTATTAAATATATATTTTATTGATTTTTGTACAGAGTGGAAGGGAGAGAGACAGAGAGTTCGAAACATCAATGAGAGAGAGTCATCGATCAGCTGCCTCTTGCACACCCCCCACTGGGGATGTGCCCGCAACCAAGGTACATGCCCTTGACCGGAATTGAACCCGGGGCCCTTCAGTCCCCAAGCAGACCCTCTATCCATTGAGCCAAACCGGTCCCGGCCGATTTTATTTTTTTAAATTATTTTTCTTTCTTTTCTAAATATGTTTTTATTGATTTCAGGTGAAGGGAGAAGGAGTGAGATAAAAATTTCAATGATGAGAATCATGATCAGCTGCCTCCTGCACGCTCCCCACTAAGGATCTAGCCTGCAACCTGGGCATGTGTCCTTGCCTGGAATCGAACCTGGGACCCTTCAGTCTGCAGGCTGACGCTATCCACTGAGCCAAACCAGCTAGGACTAAATCCATTGCTTTAAAAATATGTACATTAAAAATAAATTAATTAAAAAATTAAAAAAAATATATATATATACATTTTTATTGATTTCAGAGAGAAAGACAGAGGGAGACATAGAAACATCAACAATGAAAGAGAATCATTGATTTTCTGCCTCCTGCACACCCCTCACTGTGGGAGTCAAGCCCACAACCCAGGCCTGTGCCCTGACCAGGAATCAAACCGTGGCCTCCTGGTTCCTAGGTTGATGCTCAGCCCCTGAGCCACGCCAGCCGGGCTCTCGGCCTCTGCTTTCACAGATGGGATGCAGGGCAAAGAGGCCAAGTGATTCCAGGAGAGCGAGCCCATCAGGAGGGCCTGGAGGAAGCAGGTCCTGCTGCCCTGGCCTCTCGCTGGGGGAGAAACACCGAGGCTGGAACGAGCCCCTTTCTCTGCCCTCCCCCAGCCTCATCCAGCCCACAGCTCCAGCCCTGCGGGATGGCACCCTGAGCTGCGGTCACGCCTGGGCGGGCTGCAGTGACCCCGCCGAGTCCAGCCTGGCAGTGACCAGGCCCCCACGCTCCCAGCCCGAGCCGGAGGCTGGCGCGCGTGCCCCTGGTCATCAGGGGAGGCAGGGAGCACACCTGGGGACCTTGTGCTGTCCCGGGCGATGGGAGGATTTTCTCATCCTGATTCCAGAATGAGGAGGGTCAGGTCGTGAGGGTCAGTCCGTGCCTCTGGCCTGGGGTCACCGCGGTGGAGCCAGAGTCCAGGTGACCCTCCCCGGCCTGTGGTCTCGGTGGTGAGGGCTGAGCGGGGGTCAAGCTCAGGGGCCGGAGCCGGACTGAGGCCAGTCACTGGCATGACCCTCACGTGCCCGGCCCTGGGGGGGCCTGGGAGCGGCCCCTCCACGTCTGACCGGCCCAGGCTGTGCAGGCTCGGCCCATGGCTGACACGGGGGCTGCCGGGCACAGCAGTCAGCACGTGAGATACCGGTGAGACCGTGCCCGCTGAAGACCGGCTGGTTTATCTGAAATTCAGTCTAATCGGCGCCGTTGCCAGGCCTCTGAGCACAGGTGCCAGGCGCCCAGCCTCAGATTCCAGGTTCTGTCACCCACTCACCCAACACCAACAAGCTCTGGGCGCCTGAGGGATGCAGACATCCCAGCCCGTAGGCCCTCCCGGCCACCGCCACCAGGGGGCAGCAGCGCCCAGCGCCCGGGCTCCTCTGCAGGTGGGGGCCTGACCCCGGTCCCAGTTTAGCACACGAGCCAATGGGCACAGGGCTGTGGGGAGAGACTGTGGGGACGGGGTGGCCTGGCTCAGGGAGAGCCAGGGCTGGAGGAAGGGGCTCCAGCAGCTCGTCCCCACACCAGGCTGCTCCCTGAAACCCTTCCTGAGCCCCACGGGGAAGCCCCAGCCCCGCCCTGGCCTCCTGCCTGGCCAGGGAACAGCTCCTGGGGCCCCCCAGCCTGTGCCTGCGGCCCCTGCCTGTGGGCGTGGGTGAGGCCCCCAGCCACCCCCTGGGGTGCCCACAGGCCCCGCAGCCCTGGGCTCTGCTCACAGCCGCCCGTCCTGGCCGGGCGCAGGTGGGTGCTGCGGGAAAAGAGGGTGCTGTCCCCGCCCATCTCCCCCCACCCCCCACCCACGGAGCCGGCCCTGAGGCAGGGTCCAGGCCCGCCCCCATGACCAGTGTCGCCTGCTTCCCGTCTCTGAGCACTGCCCACACTGGGGCTGCCCCAGGGGGCCTGGCCCCAGCCCCGCTCTGACCCCACACCAGAGGGCGGGGCCCTCTGCCCGCTGACATGCAGGGCCCCGGTCAGGGCCCCGGCTCCCCAGTCCTGTCTGGCTGCTGGGACAGGGAGGGCCTCGGCCAGGGTCAGGAGCCGAGCTGGGACGTGTGCCAGGCGTGTGGGGGCGTGTCCGGGCTGGGCCGGTGGTGGGCCACACTGACTCATTCCTCCTCAGTCACTCCCTCTGCCGAGCAGCTGGCTCTGCCGGCCGGGCCGGGAGCAGCCGTGGCGGCCGGGGTGCAGGGTGTGGAGGGAGGACACACACACTTCACACTGGGCCCCCCACAGCCGTGCCCGACTCAGCCACAGACCACACCTCCCGTCCCTCCCAACACAGACACCCCAACACACGACACCCCAACCGCAGACCGGCACACGTGTGCCCAGGGACGGGGTGAGCCCGGGGCGGGGCGGGGGGGCAGGGCCCGGCTGGCGTGGGTGACGCCGTGGGGCAGCCCTTCCTGCCGGTTCTGTCACCTCCAGCCCCAGTGCGGTGTGAGGTGCAGGAGCAGGTCCCCACGCGGGCCAGGTGCGGGCGGCCAGGGCCGGGGGCCATGCCTGTGCCGGAGACATGGCCTCCTCTGTGCGCCCACGGCCGCCTGGCTGATCACACCCGGGGGGGGGGTCCCCGTGAACCCGCCGAGGACAGTCCTCTGCTCCCCGTGCTCCCCGCAGGCGTGGAGACAGACACAGTGACCCAGAGGGGCCCGGGGCGCGGTCACAAACACGGGGCCCCGGGTGCGGGCAGGGGGGGCGTGAGACAGCGGGGCCCACCCTCCCCAGGGCACAGGGGCGGGGGGTGAGACCGCGGGGCCCACCCTCCCCAGGGCACAGGGGCGGGGGTGAGACCAGGGGGCCCACCCTCCCCAGGGCGTGTGTGGGGGGGGTGGTGGGGAGGTGAGACCGAGGGGCCCACCCTCCCCAGGGCACAGGGGCGGGGGTGAGACCGAGGGGCCCACCCTCCCCAGGGCACAGGGGCGGGGGTGAGACCAGGGGGCCCACCCTCCTCAGGGCACAGGGGCGGGGGTGAGACGGAGGGGCCCACCCTCCCTAGGGTGCGGGGGGGGGGGTTCTCAGGGAGACACGCCTCGGAGGATGCTGTTTATTGATCGCTTTATACAGGAGACGCCGGCGGCCGCGGGCCCCACACAGACCCGCGTTCCGGGGGGCCCCGCGGGGGACGCGCATGCAGGTCCTGGGACGCGGCGGCCGGCACACACACCACAGAGAACCGGCTGGGGTCAGGGCCACGAGGGACCACGCTTCAGAGGGACCTACACGTGACACTTCACATCACACACGGCAGTTTACACGGACACCGTGGCTCTGGCGGGAGACGGGCTGGGCGCTGCCATGCACGGCCCCGCCGCCCCGTCCCCCTCCGCCCTGCAGCCAGAGGCCCCGCCGGCGCCAGGCGAGCCGGCCGGGGGCGGGGGCGGGGGCGGCTGCAGGCGGCGGGAGCGGGGCCCCGGCCGGCGCGGGAGGGGACGGCGGAGGCGGCATCGCTTCCGAGCACAGCGTACGGGCTGCAGCCGGCGCCGCCACCGGAGCTCCTGGCTCAGAACTGGGAGGCGCTGCTGGGGTCGCACTGCAGCAGCCGCACGATGGACGGGTCGCTCTTGGCGCCTCTGATGAACTCCTCCAGGGACAGCTTGCCTGCGGGGGGGGGGGGGGTCAGCGGTGCCCGCAGGTTCTCCGGGAGGGGACCTGCCCGGGGGCCTCGGCCGCCCCTGGGCCGCTGGGCCCTCAGGAGGCTGGCGGCCCGCCCGGTGCCGCTTGCTTCGTGGGCTTCGGGGAAACCCTGTGCGCTCCCTGCCCCGGTCCTGCCCCCCCCGGGCGGTCACCCTGGGCCGGCCCCCCAGTGAGCCACACGCAAGGCCAGTGGGCCATGTCGGTCCTTTAAGTCACTCCATGCTTTCCCCGAGGAAGACGTGGCCTCTGCCTCTGACCCTCACCAGCCAGGCCTGGGCCCGAAGAGCCGGCCCAGGGTCACTGCCCACGGGGGGGGGACACCAGGGTCACTACCCACGGGGGGGGACCAGGGTCACTGTCCATGGGGGGCGGCCCAGGGTCACTGCCCACAGGGGGGGGGACCAGGGTCACTGCCCACGGGGGGGGGACACCAGGGTCACTGCCCACGGGGGGGGCGGCCCAGGGTCACTGCCCACGGGGGGGGGACCAGGGTCACTGTCCAAGGGGGGCGGCCCAGGGTCACTGCCCACGGGGGGGGGGACCAGGGTCACTGCCTACAGGGGGGAGGGGCCTGGCCCAGGGTCACTGCCCACGGGGGGGGGGGGGGGGGGCAGGACCCGCTGGGAGACCCTGGCCCCCCTGCCCCTGGAGGTGGGACGGTGACACGGGGCCCTCCCAGCGGCCTGTCCCGGCAGACGTGGGCAGGACGGAGTGTGAAGCTCTGCTGCTGCCAGGGGGAGACGAGGGGTGGAGGGAGGTTCACGGGGGGGGGCGGGGGGGGCGGCAGTAGGAGCTCAGCCGGTGCCGTGTGTGTGCCCGGCGCTGAGGAGTGGTCGGCCGCCAACCCCCACCTCAGGGACCTCAGTGCACAGTGGGGGGAGGGTTGGGGTGGGAGTGAGGGGGGCTGCGGGGCAGGGCCGGCGCCTACCGTCGTTGTTGGTGTCCATCTGCCTGAAGATCTTGTCCGTCCGCTTCTCCGGGGTGGACTCGTCCTCCGGCATCTTCATCACCGAGGACACCATCTTGTAAATGGCCTGCAGGGCGCACGGGGCCTGAGCTCGGGTTCCAGCAGGTTCCTGAGCTACCTCCAGCCCGCACCACGGCCCCGAGAGGGGGGATGCTCTTGGGCCCCCAGGCCCCTCCCCCGCCCCTCCCCCTGCACCCTCCCCTCTCCCCTCTTCCCCCTCCCCCCTGCACCCTCCCCCCTGCACCCTCCCCTCTCCCCTCTTCCCCCTCCCCCACGCACCTGCACGATATCCAGCATCTCCCCCGCCCTCCCCCCTGCACCCTCCCCCCTGCACCCTCCCCCCTCCCCCCTGCACCCTCCCCCTTGCACCCTCTCCCCTCCCCCCCCACGCACCTGCACGATATCCAGCATCTCCGCCACCCTCCCCACTGCACCCTCCCCCCTCCCCCCTGCACCCTTCCCCCTCCCCCTTTCCCCCCCACACACACGCACCTGCACGATCTCCAGCATCTCCGCCGCCCTCCCCCCTGCATCCTCCCCCTCCCCCCTCCCCTCTCCCCCCCACACACGCACCTGCACGATCTCCAGCATCTCCGCCACCCTCCCCCTGCACCCTCCCCCCTGCACCCTCCCCCCTGCACCCTTCCCCCACACACACGCACCTGCACGATCTCCAGCATCTTCCCCGCCCTCCCCCCCTGCACCCTCCCCCCTGCACCCTTCCCCCACACACACACACCTGCACGATCTCCAGCATCTCCCCCGCCCTCCCCCCCTGCACCCTCCCCCCTCCCCCCTCCTCCCCCCCACGCACCTGCACGATCTCCAGCATCTCCCCCGCCCTCCCCCCTCCCCCCTGCACCCCCCCTGCACACACGCACCTGCACGATCTCCAGCATCTCCGCCGCCCTCCCCCTGCACCCTCCCCCCCCCCCCCCGCACACACGCACCTGCACGATCTCCAGCATCTCCCCCGCCCTCCCCCCCTGCACCCTCCCCCCTCCCCCCTGCACCCCCCCCCCCCCCCCGCACACACGCACCTGCACGATCTCCAGCATCTCGCCGCGGCTGATGTAGCCGTTGCCGTCCAGGTCGTACATGCTGAAGGCCCACCGCAGCTTCTGCTCCAGCTTGCCGCGGGAGGTGACGCTCAGCGCGATGATGAACTCCCGGAAGTCGATGGTGCCGTCGCCGTTGGTGTCGAAGGTGCGGAAGACGTGCTCGGCGAACTTGGAGGCGTCGCCGTAGGGGAAGAAGTTGGCGTAGATCTTCTTGAACTCGTCCACGGTGAGGTGGCCGGTGGGGCAGTCCTTGAGGAAGCCCTTGTACCACTCCTGCAGCTCGTGGTCCGTGAACTCCGTGTTCTCCCGCAGGTCCTGCAGCGCCTCGGGCCGCAGCTTGCTGTTCTGCTTGCCCATGGCCGGCGCCACCCTGCGGGACAGGCTCTGTGGGACCCTCCGGCTGCCCCCACGGCCACCCAGCCGGCCGGCCGCCCTGTGGGCCTGCACCCGGCCAGCCCTGTGCCCGCCGTCCCGGCCCTGCGCCCGGTCCCTGTGCCCGGCCCTGTGCCCACCGCCCCGGCCCCTGTGCCCGCCACCCTGGCCCTGTGCCCGGCCCTGTGCCCACCGCCCCGGCCCCTGTGCCCGCCGCCCTGGCCCTGTGCCCAGCCCCTGTGCCCGCCGTCCCGGCCCTGTGCCCGGTCCCTGTGCCCGGCCCTGTGCCCGGTCCCTGTGCCCGGCCCTGTGCCCACCGCCCCGGCCCTGTGCCTGGCCCCTGTGCCCACCGCCCCGGCCCCTCCAGGCCCCTGGGGGAGGGGCGCCTGCGGGGCACTGCTCCTTCTCTTCCTGGCACACGAGGGCATGACTGTGTTCCGGTGATGGGGGGGGAGTGGCCCTCCGCTTCCGGGCCTGGCTCTCGGCCACTCTCCCAGGGAGGACGGGGCCCGTGGGCTCAGCCAGGCTTCCTCACCCGCCCACGCCCCTTTCCCCGGCCCCTGAGTAGGCTCCTGATGACCGCCATTTGGGGTGCATGGGGGGGCACCCTCTGCTCCCAGCAGCACCCGTTCCTCCCAGGACCCCCTGAGCGGACGGAAGGAGCCGCTGGAGCCTGGATGACTGGGAGCAGAGCTCAGCACCCCAACCCCCTGGCCCTGGGCGCCTGGAAAGCCCCTGGGCTGCGGGAAGCGGGGAGACTTGGGCGTTTGTGCCAGCCTTAAAGCAGGCCCCAGCGGGCAGGCAGGGGCCTACACCCCCACCCCCAGGGGGCCCGTGGGGCTCTGGCAGGGGAGCGACAGGCCAGAGGAAGTGGGTGCAGAGCCAGCATGGAGTTACGGGGAGGCCCGCTCCCCGGCCCGCCAGCCCCAGCCCAACCGCTGGAGGGTTTTTCTCTGGAAAAATTGACCCCCCACTTACACCCCCTCCCACGACAAGACCTGTAACTGCACTACACGTAGGGTCCTCCAAAAGCTGGGCGCCCTGTCAGCTGCTGCTGTTTGTTATAAAGACGATAAGGTATAGTCACAGAGCATGGATGCAGTCCAGTGTGGATCGTCATCGGAAACTTGAATAAACCCTGAACAAGTCCTATATAATAAAAGGCTAATATGCAAACCGACCAAACGGCAGAACCACCAGCCGCTATGACACACACCGACCTAAGGATGTTGGGCTGCGGGGAGCGGGCCTGGGCCATCGGCCGGACAGCCCGGGGCTCCCGGACTGCGGGCCACCCCTCCCGCACAGGCCTCTGCTGTTCACGAAGAACGCATTCCCAAACCACCGCCATGCTGGAGCTGCAGGAGCAGAGGCATCGGGCACGCCCGAGCCCACGGCAGGCCTCACGCCAGTCTGTTCCGCAGCAGCTGAACTAACAGCAGCGCAGGAGCCGCAGCCGCCATGGGCCGGGCGCTCCCGCGGGCGGGCGGGCGGGCGGGTGAGGCAGCCCCGTCAGGGACGGAGACATGGCGCCCGGGGTGCAGGCCGCCTGCTCGGCCCGCAGCTCATGCGGCTGGGAGGTGAGCACAGGCCCGTCTGAAGGTGGCCACAGAGCTCCACCCGGGACCACGGCCTAGGAGACAATGAGTGACGTGTTCTGGAAACAAAGAGGGTAAACTTCGTTCTGGAGAAAAACGACCAGGAAATTGCGGACGGCACAGAGACCTGCTGCCGGAGCGGGCGCCACCTCCGCCTGGTGAGGTCTGGCCGCCCGTTCAGAGCCCCTTTCACAGCCGGTGACATTCGCTCTGTTAGGAGGGTCAGGCCTGCTGCGTCCGCAGAGGCTGCGCATCGGCCTAGGACGCGGGAGGCCCCGGTTCGATGCCTGGTCAGCGCGCACGCCCAGGTTGTGGGCAGGCCCAGTGGGGCACATGCAGGAGGCAGCCGATCAATGATTCTCTCTCACTGATATTTCATCTCTCTCTCTCTCTCCCTTCCTCTCTGATATAAAAAAACTATATATGTATATGTATTTTTAAAATATATTGATTTTTTTTTTTTTTTACAGAGAGGAAGGAAGAGGGGTAGAGAGTCAGAAATATCGATCAGCTGCCTCCTGCACACCCCCTACTGGGGATGTGCCTGCAACCAAGGTACATGCCCTTGACTGGAATCGAACCTGGGGCCTTACAGTCCGCAGGCTGATGCTCTATCCACTGAGCCACACCGGTTTTGGCTATGTATATATATTTTTAAAAAACAACTGGATGATGAGGGCTTTAGAAGGCCTCTGGAGGTTTGACACCCCCCCCAGGGGGCAGGCACATGGCAGATCCCAGCGCGGGGAGGCGGGCGCCACGCTTGGCCAGCCTGGGGAGGCAGTGGCATCTCGTCTTGGTGGGCTGGGAAGGGTGAGGGTCCCTGGGCGGAGGGAAGGCTGTGCCCGGCTCCCACGGGCTCCCCCACGGTCCCACCGGGCTCCCTCGCCGTCAGAGTGCTCCCGGGACGGCCCACGCTGGCCTCCCACCTGACGGAGCCACGTGTGCCCGGCACAGCCAGGCGCCCGGCATCGCTGGCCGGGACAGGCCCTAAGAATCCCTGCCGGGCTCTCCTGAGGCTCACCGCAGCGGGCGGCCTGGCGGGGACGGTGGGACCGGCGAGCCCGGTGACCCTGCCTCCGGTGAAGCCAGCGGCAGGGGCGGCCTGGCTGGCGGTGCCGACAGCAGACACAAAGCAAGCTTTTCCGCGAAGACGGCCCGTCACCCGTGACCCACAGAAGTGGCGCCCTGGGCCTGCTCCTGGGGAGGAGGGCTGGCTGCACGCCGCCCTCCCTCCAGGTGGGCAGGGAGGGCTGCCCGCCCAGCGTGGAGCCCGCCCGCCGCTGGGAGGAAGGCCCAGCCCAGTGCGGAGGGCGCCCGGGGAGGCTCGGCTGCAGTGACGCTCGGCGGACACCAGAGGGCGCAGCAGGGACAGGCTTCCCAGAGCCTCAGCGCGAGGCCCCACCTCCGCTCCCGACCCCGCCCGGCCTCGCCCCCTCCGCCCAGGGGCTGCCTCAGTTTCCCCATGGGTGAGCTAATCTGTCCAGCTCAGTCACCGCCACGCCCATGCGGCCCACCCGAACCCGTGCCTGTCCGGTACACACTGGAGGCCGACGCTGTGAGAGCGAGACTGGACCCTGCATCCTGACTGCGTGTGAAACGAGACCCACAGCATCTGAGCACAGGGGTCAGTGACTCCTGTTGGTCAGTCCGTCTCACCTGTTTCGTCCTCCGTGTCTAACTGTGTCTACGGGGCCAGGTGACCTCACGTCTGCAGGTGGTGGCCGCTAGGCCCTGGGTGACCCTGGGACACGCTGTGTGGACCTGGGCCACCCAGCGGAACCTTCTAGTTCTTGGGTCGTCAGCAGGCCCGGGCAGCCTGACACAGCGGGAGCCCTTGTTGACTTCCCTCCTCAGTGCCCTTGAGGGGGAGATAACGGTGTTTGCATTTCGCAACCAGGCAGTCCCACCGGTTCCTATTTTCAGCCGCTCCGAGGACTCTGCCAGGCCAGCGCCTGGGGACCTGGGTCTGACCCTGGCTAAGGCGTGGGGTGTGGGGTGTGAGTGAGGCTGTGGGGCGGGGGCTGCAGGAAGGCCCGCCCCTGCCCCCTCCCCGAGGGTGATGGGGAGGGAGGAGCTCAGAGGCCTCTGTGCCCTCAGTGCAGGGTGTGCCCAGACCCAGGTCCCCGGGATCGGGAGCGTCTGCCCAGGGCCCTGAGACCCTGTCGCACCATCACAGTCCCCCCGCGGGATGGACTCCAGGCCAGGGGCCCGGGCGGAGAAATCCCACAGAAAACCCTTTGACAATGTGCGCATCCCAGGAGCTTAAAATCCACGACTCCCAACGTTCAGAAAATAAATAGAAGGAGGGAGGGGGGAGGGGAGAGAGGAGAGGAAGGGGAGGGGAAGGGAGATGCAGGTCAGGCGGGGCACAGAACCCTCCCCTCCCAGCCACCCTCCTCCCGGCCCCGCGGGCGGAAGTGCCCTCGGAGGCGGGAAAGGAAGAGGCGGAGAAAGGAAAGGAAAGCCCTGAGAAGGCTCTTTCCCTGCGGGAAGGGCTGAGCCGCAGGAAGCGCCTGTGGCTGCTTTCCCACACGCCTCTGCCCCAGACTCCAGCTCCGGCCGGCTCCGGGCCTCAGGCCCCGCTCCTCCTACTCACCCGCCAGAGCCCACTCTGGGGAGGCGCCGCCCCTGCACCGGCTCTGGCCTGGCGTCCCAGTGGCACCTTCTCAGCCCGTTTCCATCAAAGCCCCGCTGTGTGACGCCGGCTCCCGGCTCCGGGGGAGGAATGCGCCGTCCGCCACCAGCAGAACCTGCTGGGCCTGCTCCAGCCCGGCCCTCACCTGGCCGCTCCTCCACCGGCTTCTTCCCCCGCGGCCTGCCCGGCAGCCGCCTCCTCCAGGCCCGGAGCCCTCCGGGAGCCACCTCTAAGGGCACCCAGCCCTCGGCAGGCCCTCGGCCCTGGCACCCCGCCGATGGGTCTGTTGGCCGCCTGCCTCCTGTGCTGGCTGTGCCCCCGCCATGCCCGGGGCAGGGCCGGGCACTCAGGGCTCAGCAAGCCCACGTGACAGCGGCTGTGTGTGCCCAGGGCGGCCCAGCGGACTGAGGGGCAGGCAGGCGGCAGCGCTCTCGGGAAGCACACTCACTCATTCATGCACAGCCACTGCACACTCATTCATTCCACAGCTGCTTCCCACACTCACTCATTCATCCACAGCCACTGCACACTCATTCATTCCATAGCCACTGCACACACTCACTCATTCATCCACAGCCACTGCACACTCATTCATTCCACAGCCACTTCCCACACTCACTCATTCATCCACAGCCACTTCCCACACTCACTCATTCATCCACAGCCACTGCACACTCATTCATTCACAGCCACTTCCCACACTCACTCATTCATCCACAGCCACTTCCCACACTCACTCATTCATCCACAGCCACTGCACACTCACACTCATTCATCCACAGCCACTGTACACCCTCACTCATTCATGCACAGCCACTGCACACTCATTCATTCCACAGCTGCTTCCCACACTCACTCATTCATCCACAGCCACTGCACACTCACACTCATTCATCCACAGCCACTGTACACCCTCACTCATTCATGCACAGCCACTGCACACTCATTCATTCCATAGCCACTTCCCACACTCACTCATTCATCCACAGCCACTGCACACTCATTCATTCCATAGCCACTTCCCACACTCACTCATTCATCCACAGCCACTTCCCACACTCACTCATTCATCCACAGCCACTTCCCACACTCACTCATTCATCCACAGCCACTGCACACTCATTCATTCCACAGCTGCTTCCCACACTCACTCATTCATCCACAGCCACTTCCCACACTCACTCATTCATCCACAGCCACTTCCCACACTCACTCATTCATCCACAGCCACTGCACACACTCACTCATTCATCCACAGCCACTGCACACTCACACTCATTCATCCACAGCCACTGTACACCCTCACTCATTCATCCACAGCCACTGCACACTCATTCATTCCATAGCCACTTCCCACACTCACTCATTCATCCACAGCCACTGCACACTTATTCATTCCATAGCCACTTCCCACACTCACTCATTCATCCACAGCCACTGCACACTCATTCATTCCATAGCCACTTCCCACACTCACTCATTCATCCACAGCCACTGCACACTTATTCATTCCATAGCCACTTCCCACACTCACTCATTCATCCACAGCCACTGCACACTCATTCATTCCATAGCCACTTCCCACACTCACTCATTCATGCACAGCCACTGCACACTCATTCATTCCATAGCCACTTCCCACACTCACTCATTCATCCACAGCCACTTCCCACACTCACTCATTCATCCACAGCCACTGCACACACTCACTCATTCATCCACAGCCACTGCACACACTCACTCATTCATCCACAGCCACTGTACACACTCACTCATTCATCCACAGCCACCTCACACACTCATTTATTCATTCCACAGCCACTGCACACACTCACTCATTCATCCACAGCCACTGCACACACTCATTCATGCACAGCCACTGCACTTATTCATTCCATAGCCACTTCCCACACTCACTCATTCATCCACAGCCACTTCCCACACTCACTCATTCATCCACTGCCACTTCCCACACTCATTTATCCACAGCCACTGCACACACTCACTTATTCATTCCACAGCCACTTCCCATACTCACTCATTCATCCACAGCCACTGCACACTCATTCATTCCGTAGCTGCTTCCCACACTCACTCATTCATCCACAGCCACTTCCCACACTCACTTATTCATTCCACAGCCACTTCCCACACTCACTCATTCATTCATCCACAGCCACTTCCCACACTCACTCATTCATCCACAGCCACTGCACACACTCCCTGAGCTCGCATGAGGACCGTGAGGTGTAAAGGGACCGCTGGGGTCCGGCGGGAAGAAGGCGGGGAGGAGCCGGAGCTGTCGGGGACAAATGTCACGTGGACAAGGGCACTCCCAGGGGAGGTGTGAGGTGGAGGAGCAGCGTGGCTGGCAGGCTGGGTGAGGGGGCCCTGGCTGGAGGGGGCAGGGCCAGCCTCCGGACTTCTCCTGGGGGTGCAGGGAGGGCAGGACAGCGTCTTGGCCTCAGTGATTCTCAGGCGGGAGTTTCTGGGGGCCCCTCCCAGCGGACGCCTGTCCCAGCCACAGCTCTGGGCCTGTCACCTCCCAGCATCCTCCTGAGCAGCGGCAGGACCGCCCGCAGGAGCAGACGGGCAGACGGACATGTGGATTAGCAAGGGGCAGGGCGAGGGAAGATGCCCTCAAACCCAGGGATTCCATCCATCCCTCGAAGGGCAGGTCCAACTGGTCAAGTCTTAGCCCCAAAACACCCGGAAAAGTGCCTGTGAGCCTGGCCAGTGCGGCTCAGGGGCTGAGTGTTGACCTAAAAGCCAGGAGGTCAGTCTGATTCCCGGTCAGGACACAGGTCCAGGTTGCGGGCTCCATCCCCAGTGTGGGACCTGCAGGAGGCAGCCGATCAGTGTGTCTCATCATTGATGTTTCTCTCTCTTCCTTCCTCTCTCTGAAATCAATAAAAACATATTTCTTAAAGTGCCTGCGAGTTCTTTTTTAGGGGGAGGGAAGGGAAGGGCGGAAGGGCAGCGCTGTGAGGCAGGGGGCGCAGTGGGCGTCCTGAGAGCAGGTAAGAATCGGCTGTTACATCGGCCACTTCCCCCTCTGAACGGAGCTGAGCCTGGGCCATCGCGGCCGCCACCTCCCTCGTCTGAGCAATGCGACTCCGGACAACCAGACCCAAGGCGCCCTCAGTCCCACACACGGTCTCGGGGTCTCTGCCTGGGCCCCCAGGGCGGCTCCCACACGGCTCCCTCCCGCCCCCACCTCGGCTGGCAGGGCTTCAGCGGCGATGGCAGCTTCAGTTCATGGCCCCAACGAGCCACTGAGGCTTGGCCGCATTCTAAGGTATCTTGGAGGGAAACTATCTGTAAGAAACAGCATCTACAATAACAAAAGGGTGACATGCTAATGAGACCGACATCATTCCCACGTCCTTCCTGACGAAGAGGGGCCGGCGGCTGGGCGAAGGAGGGCTGCTCCTGCCCAAGTCTGTGCATCCGGCCTCTGGTGACGAATGTTGGACTGAAGAGTGTTTTAAAGACACGCGTGGCCCCTGAGTCCTGTGTCCGCTGACCAAGGGCTCCGTCCCCGGGCCAGGTCCTCTCCCCGGAGGGCGGCTGCCCCCAGTGCCTGCCTGGTATCGCTTACGGCTCAGCCCGCGAACCCAGACACAGTCCCCTTGTGTGTCACACGTGTCACCTCCTGCGTTTGATTCATGTGTCATGTCTTCAGGAGGAAATAAACAGTCAGTCATTCCCAATAAAAGGCATCAGCAGGGGGAAGGCCACAGGCCAGCCGCCCCGGGGCCATGGCAGCCAGTCCTCAGCGTCGTTACAGGCGCTTTTGCCGGGAGGAAGACGGTTCATAAAAGCCTGTGCCGCTTGGAGGAACCACAGCACCGGAGCCTCGGTGCAGCAGGACAGTGAGCGACGGCACAGACTCACCCTTCCCGAGCACCTACTACGCGCACCCACAGCGCGGAGCGGGGACACAGGCTGCGGTCAGGCTGGGAAGCCGGGCCTGGACTTCCTCTTCTCGGCGCCGGCTCCGCGCTGGGGCAAACCGACAGACTCCGGCGTTCAGGCTGGGGCCAGGTCACCCCTCTCCCCAACCCCCTCTCCCCCAGGTCCTGGCACTGAGTTCCAGGGCCCAGAGAGGAATGATCCCACACCGAGGAGCCGGCGCCTGCAACTCGGGAAGGACACGGGAAGGACACAGGAAAGCACGGGATGGACACAGGAACTGACAACAGGGAGGAAGTCGGGGGGAGGAGGAGGGTCTGGCTGCGGTGGGGCTCCTTCCAGACACACCCCAGGCCCAGAGCCTCCAGGCCCAGCAGCGTCACGGGGACTGGGGCCGCATCCCTCGCCAGGCCCAGGTCTCCGAGCTCCATGAAGACTTCCCGGCCCCGATGGCCCCTCCCTTCACAGGTTCCCGGAGACGGCACCCCCTGCCCCCCACCTCGCCCTCCCCGGTCCGAGCACAGCCCGCAGTGCGGACGGCTGTCTGTGGAGCGTGCTCCCGGTCCTAACTGAGCTAAACGGGGGTCTGACAAGCCCAAGAACATGCGGGATCTGGGCCTCCCCAAACCCGGGCCCTGCACCTGGGGCCGAGCTGGCGGCCTTGGGAAGGGAGAAGGGTTGGCGTGGGCTGAACTGAGGGGCCCTGACCCAGGCGCCAGCAAGCAGCTCGACCTCGGGGACGTCTCTTTATCACTCATCCATCCATTCATCCATTCATCCATTCACTCATTCATGTGCAGCCTCCCTCTGTCCCCGCCCCTGGGCACTGAGCCAAGACCAGCTGGCAGTGACAAGTGAGAATGCCAAGCCAGCCGGGACCGGTTTGGCTCAATGGACAGAGCGTCGGCCTGCGGATTGAAAGGTCCCGGGTTCGATTCCGGTCAAGGGCATGTACCTTGGTTTCGGGCACATCCCCAGTAGGGGGTGTGCAAGAGGCACATCGATTCTCTCTCATCGATGTTTCTAACTCTCTATCCCTCTCTCTTCCTCTCTGTGAAAAATCAATAAAATATATTTAAGAGAATGCCAAGCCAGGTCACACATGGCGCATGTGTGTGCACCGGCCGTCTGCCCACAGTGCCCGTCACGCAGGACCTGCCCCTGGGGCTGAGGGCTGCCTGGGCGCCCACCGTCAGCCCGAGTCACCCTAAAAGCACCGCGCCCAGCCCGGCCAGCCCCCAGAGAGACTTACTTACGCAAGGCGAGCAGAGGTGCAGACAGCAGGCTCAGCGCCTCGGGGCTGGTTCCGTGCTCGCCGGGGCCACTAGACCATGCCCTGGAAGGGAGAGCCCACAGGTCACTCGGGGCGGACCCGGCCCAGAGCCCATGATGCTCCCTCCCGTGGCTCCCGTGGCTCCCGTGGCCGGTGGGGGGCCACGACTTTCACAGGCCCCACGTGCAGTGCAGGACACTGGCACCTCCTGCCTCAGGAGGGGGCGCCCCCCGGTGCTGAGGGAGAAGTCCCCCGTGCGGCGGGCCCCCGGGCGGGGCTGCAGCCAGCGCCGGGTGTGGCCGTGGCCTCCGTGGCCTCCCAGGCCCAGGAGCTGCGGCAGCACTGAGAGCCGGGCGCCTGCGGCCACGCCTCACCGTCCGGGCCTGGCGCGCCCAGCTGCGGCCCCCCACGCAGCGAACGCCCAGCAGGCATGACCACCAACACGCTCAGTGGCCGGCTCCGTGACACCACAGCACCGGTAGCCACGTGGACACTTTCTACCCCGACCACCCGCCTCCCTGGCCGCACAGCGCTCTGCCCGCCACCGGCTCAGTTTCCCATCGCGACAAAGCAGGGCGCCCTCCACCCCCCTCGGAGGAGGCCGGTGGGCCGGACACCAGGACGCGGGGGGAGGAGGGGCCCAGTCCCCAGGCCCCAGGCCCTGGCTCCCAGGCGGGTAGGAAGGGCCATTAACTCCAATTGCAAACCCCCCCTGGCTCCCCGCTAAGCCCAGGGGCTCCGCCACCAGTGGCAGATAAAGATGGCAGTCACTGCATCAGAGCAGAAGTCATTATGCAGAAATAATGATGTGAGTTACAGCCGGCTGCTCCTGGCCTCTGTCCAGGGGAGCACGCTGGGAGGAGGCCCCGCCATGCACACAGACCTGCCTGCCGGGCACTGGGGGCTCTCGGTGAGGGAGACAAGGCCCTGGGAGGGCCATACCCCCAAAATCAGCCCCCGGGGCCCTGCCCTGGACCCGCCTCGGAGGCCCACCACACACATCTTTTCTCCCCTTGTCCTTCCTTCACCCCCTCCCACCCCCGCCTTTGTTCACGTCAGGCCTAAGGCCCGTCCTCTCCCAGGTTTGGGGTCTCTGTACTTCCGCCCCAGCACAGCGCAGGGCCCTGGGAGAGCAGGACAGTAGCACAGGGGCCGTGTGGCCGACTGCCCGGGCCCAAAGCCTGGCTCCACGGCTTCCCAGCTGGCATTACCTCACTTCCCCGCACACAAAACGGAGATGTTAGCCCTGCCACCCCATCGCGTTCTTGTCAAAATTCAATGAGCTCACGCACAAAAGGTGCTCGGCCCCTCCAGCTCAAGACACGTCAGCAGCGACTGAACACGGAGGCAGGCCTCCAGAGCGGCTGCGGGGCCGAGCCGCCCGACTCAGCCGCCGACGCGGCGCGAGAAGCAACAGGCCGCCCACGACAACGAAACACAGCCGATGCCCGGCCCCGGGCTCCGGGGCTGCGCACCGGCCTGAGAACAGGGAGGTCACGGTTCGATTCCTGGTCAGGCACAGGCCCGGGCTGCGGGCTCGATCCTCAGAGATTGTGCAGGAGGCGGCCGGTCCGTGATTCTCTCTCATCATGGATGTCTCTCTCTCCCTCTCCCTTCCTCTCTGAAATCCATAAAATATCTATTTAAAATTATACTAGAGGCCGGTGCACAAAATTCATATATGGGGGGGCCTTCAGTCCTGCTCGCACCCTCCAACAATCCAGGACTGCTGGCTCTTAACCGCTTGCTTGCTGGCCTGCCTGACTGCCCCTAATCACTCTGCTTGCCTGCCTGATTGCCCTTAACTGCTCACCTGCCTGCCTGATCGCCCCAACTGCTCACCTGCCTGATCGCCCCTAATTGCGTCTGCCTGCCTGGTATTACATATTACACTTCTATTATTATAGATAGATTTAACAACAACAACAACAACCTAAGACTGTAAAAACTCTTAGAAGGAAACGGACAAATCTCCGTGGCCTTGGAGTTGGCAGTGGACTCTTAGGTCTGACACCCAAAGCCCAAACAACCAAAGGGAAGATAAACCGAACTCCATTAAAATTTAAAACTTACGCTTCCAAGAACACAGTCCAGAATGTGAAAACACAAATACAAAATGAGTGAAAATGTACCCAATAAGGGGCTTGTATCTAGAGCACATGTGTCAAACACAAGGCCCGCGGGCCAAATCCGTCCCGCCAGGCCTTGCAATGTGGCCCGCACCGCGCTGTCATCACTGCACTCTGCTGCGTTTCCATCACAATGACAGTTTATGACTGTTCAGTAAACCATTCGGCCCGCGATTTAGGCTGGATTTTAGATTTTGGCCCCTTCTCTGATTGAGTTTGACACCCCTAATCTAGAGAATACTTTGTAAAGAACTCTTTATAGGTATGCATATGTGTATATCTAATGATTTCAGAGAGGTGGGGGCTGGGGGGTGAAGGTGGGTGTCCAAGGTGGTCGTCCGGGGCTGGGGCGGGGGTGACGTGAAGGCTCTCCTGCCTGAAGCCCTTTCTCAGGAGCCTCAGCTCGGAGCCCAGCTGCCGTTCGAGATAAAGGGAGTAATAATTTATCTGAAAACAGATAAATTATTCATTCCCCACAAACGAGCAGCAGCCGCTTCCCGCTTCCGGCTTCCCGCACCACCAACGCCCACGGCCCGGGTGAATGCTATCAGCCACCGCTGGGGGGAGGGGGCAGACACGGGGTGGACAGGCCTGGCCGTGACCCGCCCCCGCCCCCGTCCTGCATCGCGGGAACCGGCTCAGCGTCGGATGGAAAATCACAGCCGCCCGGCAGAGGCAGGCGGACGGCTCGAGCACAGCACGTGGACCCCGAGAGGCTGGCCCCCGGAGCCGCCCTTCACTGCGGCCTCCCCAGGGCTGCCTCCGCGGTCGGGGCACCGGCCTGGCGCCCGGGCACGGCGTGCCTGGTGGTGCCCAGAGCTGAGGCTCAGGCCCAGGGTCACCCCGCCAACCCCAGCTCAGCCAGCTCCGCCGCGGGCGCCAGGTCAGCGACTGGGCCTCTCCAAGGGTTTGTCTGTGTCTTAATACGTTTTTATTGGTTTCAGAGAATAAGGGGGAGGGAAAGAGAGAGAAACACCAGTGAGGAGAGAGAGTCATGGGTCGGCTGCCTCCTGCACGCCTCACAGGGATGGAGCCCACAGCCCAGGCCTGTGCCCTGACCGGGAACTGAACCGTGACCTCCTGGCTCCCAGGTCGATGCTGACTTCACCTCTACTGAAACCCGGCGCTCGCCTCCCTGCACTGCGAGGGCAGCCTGGCCAGAGGCACCCCTCCCGCCCTCAGCACGGCTGCTGGGGGCAGCTCCGAGGCAGGGAGGGTCCCTCGGCCAGCACCCCGCACCCCGCACCCCGCACCCCGCACCGCACAGAGCTGTCGGAAACGGCTCCCCCTGCAGCCCTGCCGGAAGCCGAGCCGCCAGGCGGCAGACAGCGCGGCCAGGGCAGCCGGGGGCGCGCCCTGGGGGGGGGGGGGGGGGAGGCTTTTCCATCCCATCTTCTATTTTCTGCCCCGTATCTCGCCGCGCCCGATGGGTGTTGCGTCACCGCCGATAAAGGCTGCCTGGGCAGCGGTCCCCGGGCCCGGCACCGCCCGCTGACCAGGACACGCGGTGGCTGGGGAGACCAGGTCACCCTGAAGGAAGGAAGGAGGGGGCTGCCACGGATGAGGCCCCACAAGCCCTGCGGGGCGGCCGCCGGCCAGGCCCCCGCTCCCCCGGCTGAGGCCGGGCGGGACTCTGCGCCGGGCGGGCGTCTGAGTGACAGGGACCCCAGCCTGGAGCCTGGGGCCGGCGGGAAGACTGAGGGAACCCCTCCCCGCCCCACCTTCCCCAGAGTGAAGGCACCCTCTGTCCTTGGCTTGGGAGTCAGAATCAGAAAACCCATCGACGCCGGGCTCAGGCCCGACACACCCCACCGGCTCCGCTCGGACCCCATCTAGGCTTCCGGGAGCAGCGCCATGAGGACCGGCTGAGGCCTGGAGTGGGAGCGGTCACTGCCCGGGGGAGGAGCTCCAGGAAGGAGAGCAGGACGGGCCCTCGTCCACCGGGCCGTCCCCTCCCCCACCGGGCCGTCCCCTCCACACCGGGCCGTCCCCATGTTCACCGGGCCGTCCCCCCCCCACCGGGCCGTCCCCTCGCACCGGGCCGTCCCCCCCCCCACCGGGCCGTCCCCCCCCACCGGGCCGTCCCCCCCACCGGGCCGTCCCCTCCCCATTGGGCCGTCCCCCCCCACCGGGCCGTCCCCTCCCCCACCGGGCCGTCCCCTCCCCCACCGGGCCGCCCCCCCCCACCGGGCCGTCCCCTCCCCATTGGGCCGCCCCCCCCCACCGGGCCGTCCCCTCCCCATTGGGCCGCCCCCCCCACCGGGCCGTCCCCTCCCCATTGGGCCGCCCCCCCCCACCGGGCCGTCCCCTCCCCCACCGGGCCGCCCCCCCCCACCGGGCCGTCCCCTCCCCATTGGGCCGCCCCCCCCCACCGGGCCGTCCCCTCCCCACCGGGCCGCCCCCCCCCGGGCCGTCCCCTCCCCATTGGGCCGCCCCCCCCCACCGGGCCGTCCCCCCCCACACCGGGCTGTCCCCTCCCCCACCGGGCCGCCCCCCCACCGGGCCGTCCCCCCCCCCACCGGGCCTCCCCCCCCCCCGGGCCTCCCCCCCCACCGGGCCGCCCCCCCCCCCACCGGGCCGTCCCCCCCCACCGGGCCGCCCCCTCCCCACTGGGCCGTCCCCCCCCCACCGGGCCGTCCCCCCCTCACCGGGCCGCCCCCCCCCACCGGGCCGTCCCCATGTTCACCAGGCCGTCCCCTCCCCACCGGGCCGTCCCCCCGCACCGGGCCGTCCCCCCCCACCGGGCTGTCCCTCCCCCACCGGGCCGTCCCCCCCCCACGGGCTGTCCCTCCCCCACCGGGCCGTCCCCTCCCCATTGGGCCGCCCCCCCCCACCGGGCCGTCCCCCCCCCCCCGGGCCGTCCCCCCCCCACCGGGCCGTCCCCCCCCCCCCGGGCCGCCCCCCCCCACCGGGCCGCCCCCCCCACCGGGCCGT